CCCCATATCCTTTTTGAAATGTTGGTAACAAGGTTAAATTTAAAAATGGGTATCAATGCACAAGCACTACTGGCTTACCTGATGGCAGAACGCTTCCCACTTCGCCTCCAGAAGTACAGCAGCATCAAGTATTACCACATCATGGCCTTTTCCTGCCAAGTCTCTGATCTGCTCCTTGGCTAGTCTGGCAATCTCCGGCCACACAATGCTGTTCAGTTTCTCAAGGGCATCTTTGTTATTGAATACCTTTGGTCCCAGGGCCCTGCGGTTGATTTCCCCATCACTGGCTACTATGTCATTCCCAAATTCTTGAACGAGTTTGTTGTAACAGTCTGTACTTTTCTTGTAGGCTTCGTGTCCTAATTTATCACAGTCAACAACACCAGCGCCAAGTTTTTGGAAGCGTTTTGCAACACTGGATTTACCACTTGCAGAACCTCCAGTCAGGCCAATGATATGAGGATGGCTTGGAATATCACAGTTTGGGGTCAACGGCTGTATGACAGTTCCCAGGAGCCTCATCCTTTGCGAACTTGAACTAACCTTTTCCTCTTCTTCATTTGATTTCCGATCCTTGTCTTCCACCAAGCTGATGATATAACCCTCAAGGGTTTTTAGTCCGCCTTCTTTACGTGCACTGTTGATGAAGTCAATACCCTTTTTGGTTTCCTCACTCACCACAATCATGTCCATGTCTGGATCCCATCTTGTGGGTCCCATTGGATCTGTGATCTCAACAATGTGATAATCAAGTGAAGGGTCTAAATCTGTTACAAGTTCTTTCACAGCCTCAATTCTATCTTGGCATGGAGCTATCAAGTCTGACAAAGTTTTGTTCTTGAGAAGTGGTCCTTCAGCTATGCCAGCCGTAAACTTCCGGCTACATCGCAGGAGAGCTTCTGCGAGGAGTATCTTGTGTCCAGCGTGGATATGGTCAATGTCCTCCACGACCCTCACACCCATCACCACTTTCTAAGAGAGTACTTTTGTTGGCTGCTAAGCATTTAAGCACCTCTGATTCTTATCTAGCACCTAGTGTCAATCCAATTCCTCTTGATCCCACTGCTATCGCTTCCCTCCATTCTTTGCAAAGAAATCTTCACCAATTTGCTCCTCTTGTTTACCCCTCTTCCGAGAAAGGCTAGTTTTTCATCCTTTTGCTTCACGGTCCTCATTCACCAGTTCAGTTTCTCCCTCCTCCTCAATTCTTGGCTTCGCACGAACGCTGTCCCCCTATAGATCGACTTTTGGAACTGACTCTTCTGCGGTAGCATTAAGCAAGGTCGCTTTGAAGCCCTCCTTGCGAAAAAACTTCCTCCTGTGAGCTAAATCCAACCCAACTCTTCTCTGCCACTTGGTCCTACCTCTCCATCATCACCATGCCCTCCCCTCTCCACTTCCTTCCGACCTATTCCCCGAACGTCTCCTCATCTCCCCTTCTTTCTCCTCTCCCACTCGTGATGCAAGACTTCACTGATCATGAATCACTACGTCGTGTCGAGGAGGACGGCTGTATAGAGAGAGGACGGGTCGGCCGCGGTGGCGCTCGGTACTACTCATCTGCGTGCACGTCCCTTTCACTTTCCTTTCATTTTGCCCAAGGGATCCAAATGTAATGTAAAGGGTTGTTTCTGTTGAAACCATGCCTCCTTGGCGATGCAGGCTTTTCAGCAGTCTGGCCTTGATTATTGTGGGGAAACCTCACTTACTTCCTCACGCAACTATTTCCAGACACTGAATGAGTTTGATCCCTTCACCAAATATAACCCAATACTATACCTTTTACTTCACTCTAGCTCATTTTTTTACCTGATTCTATAATTCATCATCTATCCTATATATTAGCGCGTGTAGAAGTAGTAATAAGTATTAAGAACTAAAGAGGCGGTGACATAGAAGTGGAGATGATTAAGCACTATATAATCAGATAGTGGTAGGACCTTGGTAACATGGGGAGGAGAGAGAGATACTCCACAAGTATTTATGGCTTAATCTTACTCTATCTTTCTATATAAGAGGTAGAAGGACGAGAGAGATTTTATGACTTGGATAAAGACGAGCGAAACTATAGGAGCAAGCATATGAGTGCTACTAGACTAGGCTTTAGAGAAGCGCTTTCATAGTGTCTTATCAAGCTAAATACAGGGCACTCGAGGAAACACTTACACTGATAACGTTACACGTAAGCTGGAGTAAGCATGCATTCACTTCTTGCCTAGCTACTTAAATAAATTGGTAAAGATAGTCCCTCGTCACAGTTCACTTTGTCAGAGTTTTTGATATATCTTAGAATTATCATGCAATAGCGCAAATGTCGCCAGGAGATCTATGCTCGTGAGAGGCAAATACTTCTGACATGAACATGAGACATATGACTAAACCAAAAACGTGTGAGTTGAGTTGTCGCCGACGAGTGAATTCGTCGTTAAAGAGATAAAGCAGGGGTGAATTAAAGGGCAGTGAGGGTCTGGAGGGGAGTGCGTGATATAGTGGCGGCTGATGTGAGTAGTGCTCCGCACGCTGTCACCCTTGTAGCAGGAAGGGGAGAGGGGGGTGAGCAAAAGTTGTGTAGTTTTGTGCTTTATTATAGAAGAATATGAGGTGCATTATGAATTTGTGGATGACTGCAGTGGAAAGTACGTGTGGCTTTCGCGCAATTTCAGTGGGTGTTGAATATTAAGCCTGTGTTTGTTCAATAAGCTCGTCTGTGTGTGTGTCTGTTGTGCTGTTGCTGGTAGCGAGTTGTGTGTTGTGAATAGTAGCCTGTGCGTGTAGTGTGTGCGTCGCTGTGGTGTTGTGTGTGTGTGGTGCTGGTGTGTGTGCATGCTGCGCGTGCCAACATACCTGGTCTATTCATCTTATGATTGGCCTTTTTTCTTCAAATTACTCCACATATACTATGTTCCTTGTGAGGAACTTTAATATCCAATTGCCCACATCCCGCTCGAGATGAGATTATTATTCCTTAGACGAGTGAGTATATAAAATATTACACAATAATACTATCAATATCATTTAAAAGTTCTTATAACTACGTGGAAAGAGCCATCATCTCACTGGCAATGCTATATACTGACATAGCGTCTATATCAGAATTTCAATATATATATAATTTAGCACTTAAACATGCAGTACACGAATATCTTTAGTTGTTTTCTCATATTGTATTGTTATATAAACGGAAATGAACGTGTCACTCTTCTAAATGTGTATAAAAAGATATTATTAGCTACAGCTAACGAAGATGTATACACAATATTTCATCATCACATGTAAATTCTATTTCTTTTGTCTAAAAAGGAATCCTATAATACACTCATTCAGTTTAATAATTCTTGAAACTATAATAATACAGAAAATCGAAGAAGAAACATAAGCAATTGCCATTGGGCACATAACACAAGTAATCCCGGAAAAAAATTACATACAAAAGTAAGATAGCCAGACGGAAGAATGCGGATTCATCGCATAACAATCTATCTACCTCATGCGTAACAATATGTAACATACCTCAACACACGATAAACATAACAAAAGAATTAATATTTTTTTGCATTTACCACTCTCAAAAAGAGCGGGTGGCGAAGCAGTGCTCCGAACATAAATCTAATAAAAAAGCTCAATCAGCACAGTTAAATTACCCCGCCCACGGGGGGAGGGAGACTCACTAGCGAACAGGATTGTCCGCGAATAAATTACGCGGGAGACTGGTTTAGACACAGATGACTGTGAAGGAGGAGAGAATATAGAAGAAATATTTGACTGGACCGAGAGCAAGCAAACGATGATAAGAGGATCTAGAGAGGACAGAGATGAAGAGATGAATATACCTAGGGGTATCACTGGAGAAGACGATCTAATAGCAACAGTGTAGAAGATCCAGAGTGAGAATATATAGATAACTCAAAAGATAAGTAAAATAGAGTGATCATGAAGTAATGGTTAATAAGTTTATGGAGATGTGATAAGAGTGAACATAGAGAGCTATGATTATTAAGAGATATATACATGAGAGAGAGATGAGAGGATAGAAATAAGTGAGTCAGTAAGAGGAGATGGAGATAGGAGTGATGGCGTAGTGAGGATGAGGTAGAGAAGTAAGGATAGATAAGATAGAAGAGGTAGAGATGAAGAAATAGATGATAGAAAGATAGACAATGGATGTGTAGAATGGATGAACGACGAAAAGAAAAGAATGAAGTAGGGAGTAATAAATGAATGAAGTGTAAAACAGAGAGCAATAGGATGAAAGAAGCAGAAGTAGAGAACGAGGGATGAGTGATAGAGTAGCTGAGAGAGAAACATGAAGAGACAGATCGTAAGAATATAGAGAGACAGGAACATCAAAAACAGATTAGGTAAGATCAGACAGACAGAGAGGATAGACAAGAGACGAGAGAAGATAGAACAGATCAAGATAGAGGTGAGTAGAGACCAGAGAGTGGATGAGAGAGATAAATAGTAATAATTGGATACGATGGAGAGTAAGCGTTTATGCATGATACATGAATAATAATAGGACAACAAGACAACAATGAGTAGATCAGGAAAGAAAAAAAACCTAAGATGACTCATGTGATATAGAGAGTGAGAAAGATGAAGTAACAAAGTAAGAGTAAATAATACAGACTATGAACCTAGATGAATGAAATAATAATAATAGGATAATGAATAATCATGAACATGAGAATATAATGAGAGATGACATTAATAGAATCAGATAGACAGATAATAGATAGATACATAGATAACAATAAACAGTAGAAATAAGAGTAACTAGACATGATCAAGTAGGCATAGAGTGATAAATAACTAATAATATAATGAAATAACATGAATATTCAGTATAGTATCGAGTGACTAGAACAGAATGATACTAAGAGACAAGTAGAGAAGTAAGATAAAGAGAGAGAAGATCAACATAGATATAGATTCGATATAGAGATAATAGACAATCAAAAATATAATATAAAATACATAATATATGATCGATATGAATATAATAATAAGACACGAGTAAAAGCAAAAAACACACCCAGCTCAAAAAAAAACGAAGAAAAACAAGAATAGAGAGAACCCATAAGAAGCGAAGGAAGATAAATAAAAAGCGCGACCGAAGAGCGGAGAGCTATGCATATCTATATATTTTGGCTGATCAAGTCGATTGAGTTTTAGTAACTCCGCATTATTGTTAATTTACACCCATCGACACGCAGTTAAGTAGCGCAATGTGAAAAATTCCCATCTGCTCGAGCTGGCTCCTTAGACTTAATATTCTCGGACTCATACTTTTAGCTCTATATTGACACGCAAAATCTCAGTAGACGGGGCGAGAAAGTGGACATATCAGACACTTAGGAGTTGCGCGATCGTCCTGCATAGATCGAGCATGGAGTCGGCACACGCATCATCGCCGAGATATTTGCCCGTGTTGGAGCTCCAGCACGCTGATGGGCTACATCACCACTAGTATGGAATCTCCTTGCAGATGAAACTAACCGATAGCTAGGTAGTTGCAAACTGCCAGAGCATAAAGTAACAATCTGATTGCTGTTGTGAATTAAATGACCGGAAGAGACCTGCGGAATATAGGGTGTGACGAGCTAGGAATGATCATGTTGGCATGAGGTAATGTGGGGGCAATGGGGGGAGAGCAAGTGGGAAGGATGGCTTCAAAGGCAGTTCAGGGTCATGTTGGGGATAGGCGTGAATACAGATCGGAAGAATGGGAATGTAGGGACTGAGGCTGCGAATGACGGGCATTGATGGGGACGGCCAATATAATTTGGGGTAGGGGAAAAGTCGAGATGAATGAGGGTAGACGGGGAGGAGGGAAAGGGGTGAGGGATGGGGAGGAGGGGAACGGGATCGGTATTGAAAGCCAGGTTAGTGGGGTGTAGATGCGAGAATACATTGAGGGACACAGCAGAGGAGGTGTTCAATCAGGAAAACAAGAGTGAATA